CGACATTTCTTGGACTTTTGGGATAAACACTAGCTTACCATTAACAGCTGCCCCGTGGTGGACCTACCTAGGATATCAGAACCTAAGTGATCCTAGCTTTAGTTTTGACCTAACCATATGAGCTTCATATGACTCTTTGGTATCTTCATGCATGTGCTTTAGTTCATGCTCACTAAATATAAGACCCTGTGACTCAAGGTCTAGATCAGAGAAAAGAAATAATATGAAATGAATATCATAAATTAGTGTCAAAAATGATATAGATTACGTCTTCTTAGAAACTGCCAGGAAAGAGTGTTGCATGCTAATAAATACCGACGGTGAACATCGCATTTTAAATCTCATTACTGTACACATTCAGATTCTTAATACTCAATAAGACGACACAGTAAGAATCATGCACAGCTGCGAAGAAAATATTTAATCTATCGTTGATACTTATCACAGATCATACAGAATAACTGGCACTGCCACTGATCGGAAGCCACAACATTGAGCGAGAAAACCAAACCACCGAAACAACCTCTTGTAGCAGCTGTTCCCCTAACTGAATAGGGGAGTGAAAATAAATGGACGAACCTATCATTGTGTAGGGGGTCGTGCAGGCTTTGCAAAAATTATTTTCCAACAGACCGATGATGACAGCACCAGGTAGGAAAGGTGCTGGTGGTAAATACGGATTCACCCTATGGTTCGAAAAGCATGTATATAAAGGCAAGTCTGTCGTTGAAGTGGGCATCTGCTCTATGGAAATTTGGTCGAGAAAAATTTTGGCTCGGATAATGTTTTTCGTATCAACAGTTTTCAGCTGGCAACAGAGAATAACGCTGTATGACTGGGCAACGGTTCGTCTCACCCTCACATGCAGAAAAATTTCCAACAGGGTGACGGAATGCACTGTAGTAGACCCGCATGATCGACTGCTACAGCTGAATACACAAATAATTACAACTGTTAGTCTAATACTTTATATACGAAGCTAGCTATAAATTAACACATATTAATGTACATATAATTATATCTAAAACTAAAAGCCGCTACTAAATAAATACAGAAGTGTTAAAAGACGACAGCGTGAAAAAACGTCTTCTCAAAGACGTACCTCTTTATAGAGTGAGTACAGAAAAGCGATGGTCTGAATTGTTTTGCCGAGACCCATTTCGTCTGCGAGAATTGCATCGGTGC